GAGCATACGAGGGAGCATAACTGCCGTCGGGAGGAAGTCAATGGTTTTGTCGAGAAACACTGCTTTGAAAAAGCATTTTTACCTTCCGAGAGTGCCATTTCCGAGCGTTTATTCTTAAAATTTGCTCCAAGGGCCACTAAATTATATATAAATCATCAAACAAATGTACAGTGTAAATCATCAAACAAATGTACAGTGTTCGAATAAAGGACATAATAATACATCGGGTTCGAGTCCCGCCAGAGGCACAATTTCTTTATTCATTTATTTACAGGACTACATTCGTTGAGAGCTATGCTGCACGATGTATTATTATTATTATTATTATTATTATTATTATTATTATTATTATTATTATTATTATTATTATTATTATTATTATTACCTTTGACGATTTATATATACAGTAATTTAGCAGTGTTAACGGCTATCTTGATTTATATTTATATTATGTGTAACCATTTGTTTCTAGCCGTACCTATTGTGTAATGGAGTGTATCTGGTGGTATTTGAATCTGTTCAACCATAAAGCCTCCGTGGTCTATTGGTTATGACGCTCGCCTTGACAGCTAGAGATCGCAGGTTCGTGTCCCGCCAGAGCCATTTTATTACACAATTTCTTTATTCATTTATTCACAAGACTACATTCGTTGCTACACGATGTATTATTATGTCCTTTATTCGAACACTGTATTTACCTTTCTTTGATGATTTATATATAATTTAACAGTGTTAACGGCTATCTTGATTTATATTTATATATATATACATATTTAAGTCCAATTAAATGCTTAACCTGCAGTAATGAACATTTTTATTTTATTTAATTTGAGAATCAAAGGCAAGTACAGAACAGTTCGGGACTATCCTGTTTCCGTGTCTGGCACTTCATGTGGTTCCATCAGGGGTGGTGCTAGCAGGGGTCCAGGAGGGCAAAGGACCTCCCGTCGTTGACCCCTGACCCCTCGCTTGGACCCCCTGTTGGGAAATTTCCAGCAAGGTCGTCGGGGAAAGATCAAATCTTGAGCGCTGAAAGTACAATTCAGGCACGCCTTAGTAAGTTGTCAAATTTTAGAGAAAAAACTGGTTAGTGCGAGAAGTGCTCCCTTATGTGCGAGGTGTTGTATATACTATTACGATCACATAGGTTGCAGTCGTAGTGCCAGCTCTTCATAGACAGGGGGCTGGTACCTCCGACAGGGGGTTAGTACCCCTGACAGGGGACTCTTAACTTGCATGGTTTTCTATCAAATTATGCTTTTTAAATAAAGAATCCAATAATTAACACAAAATAATTTTTCCCCGACGGGTAGTGGTGGGGGGGGGGGGGGGGGGGTGGTGGTGTTAGCAAAAAGAGTATGTTTTATACTCTCGTGAAAATAATGGATGACCCCTAAGTAAAATGCACACATTATTCATGATAAATTTCAAGATTTTAAATAAACTGATCATTTATATTTTTTAAACTCTCTATAGCTGTAGTGGTCACTCATACAATAGTACATGTACATAATTTGCATTTTACAGTTTTCTACACTTCTATGAACCGAAAGTCCACTGATTAATCTCAGATAAGATAGTATAATACATACTCTAAGTATCGAAATGCACGCCGTCGTGTCGGGATTCAATTTTTCGACATTAATTATGTCATCATCCTGATGATGACATAATTAATGTCGAAATATTGAATACCGACACGATGGCGTGCAATTCGATACTTGGAGTATGTATTATACTATCCTACACGCCTATGTGTAGTGGAAATACTGTACTAATACAGTAAATCAGGTTAAACACATTCTTAAAATTATGATTAAATTAATGCAATATTTTTTTAAATTTTATTTGATTATATTAACTTATTAACATAGTAGATAATGACATTTCATTTATTTTTGTTGTTTAAATTATAGAGCTAATACAAAATGAAGTTGGTCTCCTATGTCAACGATAGAAGGATAATAAAATTATAATTAAAAGTTTGTTTGGAAATATAATGGAATTTAAATTTCTCTGGTAAAAATCACTTTTAATTTCATATTGCATTAGACCTGAGGTATGTACGCATTTTACTAGCCAAACTGGATACCGGTACTGTATAATGCCTAACATCTGTCTTGAAAGGTGGGTGGCAAGTTGAATCCACATCAACCGCCGCCACAGCATTGTTGTGGCTAAGGTGCAAAAGTTTGATGGTATGGTACTTCTAGAGGGCCGGAAAATAGTAAAATTCATCTCTATTATATTCATTCTGATGGATAATATTTTAATGATAATAATAACATTAATAAGAATAGGCCTAATACAAATTTAATAACTATAAATTGAATGACCTTGTTTATTCTGTATAGATAATAATTTAATGATAATATTAACAATAATAAGAATAATACAAATTAAATAACATAAAGAGGAAATTTAATAACCTTGTTTATTCTGTGGATAATAATTTAATAACAATAATAAGAATAATACAAATTTAATAACTATAAAGAACAAATGTAATAACCTTGTTTATTCTGTATGGATAATAATTTAATGACAATAATAAGAATAATACATATTTAATAACTATAAAGAGCAAATTTAATAACATTGTTTATTTTGTATAGATAATAATTTAATGATAATAATAACAAAAGAATAATACAAATTTAACTATAAAGAACAAATGTAATACCCTTGTCTTTTTTGTATGGGTAATAATTTAATGATAATAAAAACAATACTAAGAATATTACAAATTTAATAACTATAAAGAACAGATGTAATAACCTTGTTTATTCTGTATGGATATAAGTTTGATGATAATAATAACAATAATAAAAATAATACAAATTTAATAACTATACAGAGCAAATGTAATAACCATGTTTATTCTATATCAGGGCATAGAGAAAATTCTGTATGATCAGGGGTTCTCAACTATATCGCAAAAGGGGCCAAAATTGTTCATTGAATCAATTTACAGGGCCCGGAAAGAGGTGTACTATGGCGCGTAGAGACAGCATCGTCGCAGGTGCGAGCCAGGGGATTAGGAGGGGGATGTTCCTTCCCGCATTAGACATTTTTTGAAAATAATAAGCTGCTAGACGCTAATACAGGGCATCTTGTCCTAAGAAAGTTACCCTTGTGTTTTGTAATGCGAAAGTCAAAATGTTATGTATCACACAATGGCTCATCGGTAATTACTAATACAATATTTCTTTGCTGTAAGCTGCGATTGGCCTAGGACCTAGTTCTTCTTATTTAATTAATTAAATGGCTACACTTTGTGGGGAAATATTTAGGCAAAACATAATGAACATGTTTTAAGGCTGAGAAATCAAGGCCCAAGCCTAATGGATTTTTGGCTTGTTCTCGCGGGCCGCACAACACGCACTCGCGGGCCGCCAAGAGAACCTCTTGTTCTATATGGATAGCATTGTTAAATAAGTTGAAATAAATAATCAAAAGTATTTTAGTTTTATGAAAAAATAATTATGTAAAAATTGTAGCTTTGTAAGTTTTTTTTGTTTGTTTTTTTTTCAGCATGGTAATTCATTTCTTGTATTATATAGATACTTTGCTGCCTATATTTGTATACATATTTTCCATGTAAATGTTTTTGTTACTGACTGTTACTGCAATTGAATTAATAAAGATTTAACGTAAAAGAATGATACATCTTTATGTATTCCATGTATATAAATTCTTGTTTTATTTAACGCAGTGATGTAAAGGAGGAGAGGCAAAACATAATGAACATGTTTTAAGGCTGAGAAATCAAGGCCCAAGCCTAATGGATTTTTGGCTTGTTCTCGCGGGCCGCACAACACGCACTCGCGGGCCGCCAAGAGAACCTCTTGTTCTATATGGATAGCATTGTTAAATAAGTTGAAATAAATAATCAAAAGTATTTTAGTTTTATGAAAAAATAATTATGTAAAAATTGTAGCTTTGTAAGTTTTTTTTTTTTTTTTTTTTCAGCATGGTAATTCATTTCTTGTATTATTTAGATACTTTGCTGCCTACATTTGTATACATATTTTCCATGTAAATGTTTTTGTTACTGTTACTGTTACTGCAATTGAATTAATAAAGATTTAACGTAAAAGAATGATACAACTTTATGTATTCCATGTATATAAATTCTTGTTTTATTTAACGCAATGATGTAAAGGAGGAGTTGGCGGCAAAGTCCGGGGTGGGGGGAAATTGTTCTAGGAGAATAAAATCCGGGGAAAAATGTCACTGGGAGAAATTGTCCGTGAGGCGAGGAATACCGGGCCAAGTGTCCGAGGGAAAATGTGGAGCTTGGGCACCAGCCCGCTTCCCGTGTGCCGTATGTGGCAGATCCATGACCGGTCGTAATAAGGATAGGCGCATATAGATGTCTCTAGGATAAAGTCGACCATTATTATTACAGGTATTATTATTGTTACCGTTTATGATATCATTAATGTTGTTGTTAATTGTTATTGAGATATTTTTAGTGTAGTGTAGTGAAATTTTCGGGAACTACTTGGGAATATTTTATTGCATCTTAACTCACCTGTTCGCATTAATCCCACTGTTCAGACCGTGTCATCGCTCGTCTCTACATTTTCCTCCGAATTTAGCATTCGGAGTGTATTTATTCATTAATAGACGTGTCAGCTCAGAATGCAGGAAAGTGCATTTCTAAGTATCTCGAAAAACAAAACATTCCGAAGAAGCACCCCCGCCTAGGTCAAATCCACCGACAGAACAACAATAAACGGTAGTCTTCTCACAAGACCACCCATGCCGTGACTACTGTATCTAGGGTGAATTCTGGACCCGCGATTGCCGCCCACACTTGCTGTGGAAACGAACTTTATACCTCCTTCTTTAGACCACTATTTTTTAGAAAAATATATTATCAACAGATTGGCTCAGATCTAATATCTTCCTGTATGAACATATGTCACCGGTTAAACCGGACATGATTGTTATTGTTAACAGGCCTGTACATTAAGATATACCTACGGAATAACACTCTTAATATTTATACATCAGCCATCAATGGTCTTAGGCCTGCCAACAGAAAATGAGATCTGTTTTTTTAACAATTATATTAGCATCCACAGCATTATCACTGCGGTGTCCATGTGGGTGGAGTATCTACCAGTCTAACTGCTACAGATATTATCCGCAGAGAAAGACATTTACGCAGAGTTTGGATTTTTGTGAACAGCAGATATTTTACTCTGCACATAGGTAAGAATTACAGTATTCCTATTTTATTTTAATTGAGGTTTCAATCGAACATAGTACAATGCAGTACAGTATAATGATACCGACCTCTTGGCGGTAGCACTGGCGTGACGAACGTGTTTATTATATCTCTTTATTGCAAATATACGTACAACATAATATGACTTTTAATGGGATATTCCTCTAACCAAGCTTGACCTAACTACATACATTTATCCCCACCCCCAAACATAATCGATACAGTTCAATAAGTAATTATTAAATAATAAAATATAATAAACAAAGCTTTATTCTAAATACTCGGATAACAAAAATATTTTTAGTTTTGAAACAGAAATATTTAATATTTCTTGAAGTGACCTTTCTCAACTCAATAGGTAAAGACTTCCATTATTTAGCACCGGAAAAAGCAAGTCTAAAATGGCCTAAATTAGTTCGTCCATCTGGGTATGGATAAATTAAAATTACAATTAAAACTTGTTCTATATTTATGTCCAGCGTTCTCAAAATAGCCAGATATACTATGCGGTAACCTATAGTTAAATTAATCGGATATAAAATTTAAAACAAATAATTTATAGAGCTTATTATATCCAATATTTTAAGTTTATAAAATATAGGTGCACAATGAGTTTTAAAACTAGAAAATGTGATGCATATTGGTTTCAAACAAGATTGATAAATACTGCCACATACCTCAATGCAATAAATCAAATTAGATTTAATAAGGAAATATAAAGCGTAACTAATGTGTCCTCTGGGACACTGCCTTAACTTTAATAAACTTCCAGCTCCCTTTTTAATGTTATTATACAATTCATAAATATGTTCTTTAAATTTAAGAAATTTATCAAGTTTAACGCCAACGAAAGAGACAGAATTAGATCAGAAATTATTATTTGTTTTAATTATTAAAAATGATATACTGTAATTGCTTTTATCGGAATGTATTGGTAACTTGTTTGCGTTCCAACATTCTGTTACATTTTGGAAATGAAATAGACATGTTCTCAGAAAAAATTTAAATACATTGCTATCGTCCTTATAAACAAATCGAAAATCAAGAAAATCATTTAAACAAAATCGATAAGTAACTTATTAGTGACACACCCATTAGAACAAACAGAGACCTGTTATTAAGATCAGAATGCCAAAGTAAAGAGTGCACCCCTCGTCCCGTCATATTGTAATTTTGAAATTAAAATTCCATGGTTAATAGTATCAAACGCTTTAATAAAATCAACGAAAATACCAAGGGCAGCTTTTAAATTATCGTTAAGTTATTGTTTTTAATTGTATTTATCGCTAAATAATATTGTGCTGTATCTTTTACAAAATCCATATTAATTTTTATAAAATAACTTGATTTTTTTTAAAATCAAACGGTCATAAAATATCGTTGGAAGATAATCAAAAATTTCGCAAATTATAGCATCATGATGAACATTACAATCATAGTGAGTGGATACTGGGTTTGGTCTACAGGAGTTCGTGCTTCGAACAGGTCATTCCGTTCATAGAAGAAGCCTTTTGATGGAGAAAGTGTACCTTTTTAGCAAAGGTTTGCCTAGGTCGAAACAAACTCCGGCTATATAAAATTGATTATAAGATTGAAAAAATATTAATCTTGTTATTGTAGTAGTGATTCTATGTACACGTAATCATTGTTATTTATTCGTTAATGTCATTATATTTACATTTAAATTGAAATTTAATGTATTGTTTAAGTATGAATTATTATATTCATGTAAAAATTAATCTTATCAATTAAAATTGTATATTTTAAATAATATAGTAGGCATAGCCGAGGTCTAGCCTAGGCCTAAACGAGTGACCATATCATTTGAGTGTATAACATTATGGAAAATATGAATAAAACGTAAAATTGTGTAAGAATAAAAGAAGAAGGAAGAATAGGAAAGACATTTGGAGCGGCTGAAATTATATAAGACTACGTTTTGTATAAATACTTAAAAGAAAAATAACGCTAAAAAAAAGAAGACTTTTCTACTTCTTTATAGTGTCATCTTCAAGTTCAAATATTGAATTGAATAATATACAAATGTTTATAATCTATAAACAAAAGCTGTAAACTAGAATGCCAAAGTTCGTAACAGTGAACAAATAAAATTTATTTTATTTTGTAATCTTGGTGTTTATATGTTTAGTAAGAAGATACTGCAATAATAGCTATTGAAAAAAATAATAATATACCTGTTTCTTTAAATTCTATGGGCCAGCACCAAGCCAACAAATAGTAAACAGGTATCTATACATAGTCCAAGTGAAAATGAGTTTGTGTTCGGACTCGTGCCGTCTGGCGTCACCGTTTGGCTTGGGCTATACGTTGATAACAATTTCAAGAGAGGAGCATGGCTTTGGACTGATGGGTCACCGTTTGACTACAGTAATTGGGCCCCTGGTGAACCGAACGGTAATAAACAAGATTATGGCTCAATGTGGAATTGTGTTCATCCAAAAAAATGGGATGATGCTAATCCGAATAGTTATTACAGTTTTGTCTGCAAAGTGCCTGCTGGTGATTGTCTTAAATCACAATATGAAAGTAAGTGAATGGCTAGTCCTTTCGTATAGAATATAATCATATTTTTAAAATTTATATTAATTTTAAATTGTAGATGTGTATAAGAGACAGATATATATATATATATATATATATAGGCCTATATATATAATTCTTTTGTTTATTTTTTTTTTATTTTCCCCCTTTTTTTTTACCCCTCAACAGTTTTTATTTCTTCTGTAATTCCATATTTGAGTTCTAAAATATAATGCATGGTATATATATATAATGAGTTGTATCCAAATAATGCAGTGATTTACACTCCACATTTAGGCAAGGTATACCGTGCTACCGATTGCAAAAATGGCGGCAAATTCAACGGCAGCAAAATCACCGGCGGAGTATGCATTTGTCCTTCACCTTATTCGTGCATAGACTGCTCGTGGTATAATGGTAAGTACAGTTCTTCAGGTGCTGCGCATTGTTACAGACACGGGGAAGTCATAAACTCTTTTATTTTTTTTTAAATTAAAATCAGTTCATGAGCCTAAATAGTGTCACAAGTGATTTTAAATATAGTAGGGTATATATTATATCAATATCATTAGGGTATATTAGGGTCTAGGCCCGGACCCGGTGTGCGATCGCTCTTGTTACAATCATGGAGGTATAAATATAGACTAGAAAAAAAATCTGAAAAAAATGAGTTAGGGGGAGTGGAATGTTTTAGAAGCAATCCACATAGCCAGATATCCTAATTAATTCCTTCTGGTCACCCTAAGCCCTGTTGACACTTGATTTTACTCCTTGTATACAAATTGCGGCCATTTTGAAAAATGGCCGCCAAATTTATCTAAAATGTACATAAAATTGAAACTAAATAAGCTACAGATATGATTTTGGTGTCTAAACTCATAATTTCTAGACAGGCAACAATCTAGACATATAAAAACTACTGTCACTCAAGCCAGAATGGAACATAATTAAAAAATAGGTGTTTATTTGTTTAGAAATAATCGAAAAATGTACATAAAATAATAACGAGTATATAAGCTAGTTTTCTATGTAATCCAGATAGATTTTTGAGCAAAAATAGATTTTATTGACTAATTTTATCATTTTTACTGCGCTGAATTCAAAAAAGTTAGGTGCCATTTTTTTCCCAAAGGCATCGGCCGCCATTTTGAATTTCAAGATGGCTGACGCACCACATAAAACATGGTCATGATTGGTGTCAATGGAAAGCAGTGGCGGATAGGGGGGTTCAAGGGGTTCGGACGAACCCCCCTCTGTGAAGAAACGTAACAAAATACTGTTGGTTTCTGGCTTACAAAACGCATTACCAACCGTTTCTCGCGCATCGTGCGGGACGGTCCCGCTTCAAAGTGATTTTGGATGTAACACGCATTTGACAGAAACACATGCGTGATCTTAAATTTGTCACACATTTAGTCCATGCATGACGACGAATAATCACGAATTCAGGGAAAATATATTTAAAATTAGAAGAAATTAGTTTTATTAAAATTATAAAACAATCATGCAGTAACTTGAGTCGTTGGAGAGCTTTCGTTATCGCGTTTGAGATTCAATTCTCCAAAAGCTTTGGCGGCGCGTGTGATTATCCATAAAGCTATCCAAAAATAAAAACAAATTATATTAAATATTTTGATAAATAATTTTCTCATTATAAATAAAGACAACGAAATTCCTAATATATATATATATATATATAAATTTAAATTTTATTTATATATTATTAAAGAATCTCTATTGAGATCCAGCGGGCCGCCATTGATGCACGGTAGAGATTGCATCTTTAGATCTCCGATCTTGTTCACAAATTCACAGACTAGTGCTGTCTCGTAAGAATTTCGTAGGACGCGTTAAGAACTATTTCGTAGGACGCGTTAAGAATGACAAAATATTCTCTGTATCTACTGGAACCGAGCCGCATAGCTTGTATTCCACTATTTGCATTCACACCTGGGCTGTGTATATATTTTGCCTTGGTTTGGCTCTGTAATCATTAGTCGTCGTGGGACTAGTCTGGGCCCTACCTAAGCTAGCCGAACGTTTCGTTTGGGTCTGTACCCTAGCTGCACTGATGAGCAGATCCGTCTGCAGATATTGGGATTCCTAATTCCAGTGGATGCTTAGTTTATTTTGTCATTCTGATCGGATTTTTTCTACTGTTCCGTTTTAATTTTAAATTGTTTTGCATTATGTGGCCGTTTGCTGTTTTATGGGTTTTTCCCATTTGCCTTTTTAAATTTAATATATATATATATATCATATATATACATATCATATATATATATATATATATCATATATATATATATGATATATATATCATATATATCATATATATATATCAATATATTTATTTATTTATTTATTTCAACTATCTTTAATGAGGGTGGTCCATCCAGCCGAAGCTGATCATTAGGGACCCTCAGTACTCATAGTAAAACAAAACAAAAAAGAGAGTATGAAAATAACTAATAGTAATATACTGTAAGTAAATTTAGACTACAGTAAGTTGCTGCCCAAATGAAATAATCAATAAAACAAGAATGAAAACAACAAAAAAATAATTAAAAAAATATAAAACTAAATAAAAATATATAGATAAGGAAAAAAAAGTGACTACCTTGCTTTTCTTAATTTACAAAATGAAGTAATTCAAAGTAATAATATTTAATTATTTATTTGTATTCTCATCTAATTGTTCTTTTAGTGTCCAGCCAGATGGGTCATGGTACGTTGTATATACTGGTGCTGATGCATTTTGGATAATCGCTAATCTAACTGACAAAACCACCTACCTATTCAGAGTAGCTGCTGTGAATGATATAGGCCAGGGAGATTTTAGTATAAAAAGTGCCCCCTTTGATAATATCAGTCCAACAAAAGGTGAGCACATAGTTGTACTTTAGCAGCCTGTATTTTTTTTTCTTTGCTCCAATTTCTTTCTGCTGAGATTTACTTGGCAATTTATTTCTGTAGTCTTATACACGTTAATTTAAAAAATTGTATTGCCTACTATGATATTTTATACTGCTGTGTTAGCAGGTTTGAGCTATGGTTGCATTGAATTATTTTTATACCATATGAAGAGTAACTTTACCAACTAACCATCTGGCTCAGTCACATTGTCGCTTTGGTCCCTATAGAGAGATGAATACAGGATTTATGCTATAACAATCTTTATTATTTTTGACTTGTTTTTTTTTTTTTTAGGTCCAATTACTTCAGAAGATAACAGCATTGTAATAATCGTCGCAGTCATAGTTGCTGTTGTTTTGGTGTTGATAATTGTCGTGGCAAGTTTTGTCCTGTGTAAGTTTTCTATACAGTGTCTGTTTTCTTTTATTATTCATAAAAAGGACTTTATAATCGTATGCGAAAAAATCCAAGCGTGCATATAAGACCAGGGTCTGTCTCTTATACACATCTAGATGTAAATAAGAGACAGATTGCCACCTCAGTTTCAACT